TCCTTCTGGAATACGGCTGATTAGTGTAGGACTCGGATTGAGTAACATCTGTGGCCTCGTGAATATATTTATTAAGTTAAGGCGAAATAATATCTAGACAAGGAGGAAAATCCAAGTAAATTGGATTTTTATGCTCTATTCGAGATAATTTGTTTGACTCTTAAACTTTAGTGTGTTTTAGGTGTGTTCTTTATTTAGCCCGCCTGAAAATTTGATATTAATTCCTGTTGCTCTATGTTATTATTTTCAAATCTATAACTTGACAAGGCAAATCGATACTTTGAACTAGAATAATTTTTGCAAACTTCACTTGATTTTTATAGCTTTTCATTATTCTAACTAATTGTATCGTATGTTGGTTATGGATAGATTGAAATTTCATTGCCTCTGTTAGTATCCTAGAATACATTGCCGTGGGAATATTGTGAACTCCATCGGTTATTTTTTAACAAAAGGGGCACATGCGATCATTTATGTCAAATATCGATTGAGGAAATCAGACTTCTTAAAATAAGCTTGTTTGAAGGTAATGAGTAAAAAATAGCAAACAAGGAGTTATGATGCATCCAATGTAGTACATTCGATGTAGCCGTTCTACGCCTTTGCATTCTGTTTGGAAGGTTAACGACTGAATATAATTAACGGTTGGGCTCAATTCAAGTCAGAGAAGATAACTGCCTATCATAAAGATAATTTAAACAGGTGCTCAACCATAATTATGATTAAAACGAAATTTAGTGTATCAGTTATGTTTGTGAGGTATTGACGCTTCTGGTACTGACTGTTTTCCTCCGAAGAAACTAGGTTAGCCGTGCGCCTGTTGGTTAAGGTATTTCAGCGATAAGTGGCTTTCGGGTATTAAGGCGTCGTCTAATGTGGACGCATTGATGGGTGGGAGATATTTCTGTACGTGGACGGTATGGATTTTAAATGTGATGTGAAAAGCACTAAAATGCTTAAGAGTATGTCACAGGCGCATCCTTTCTCGTGCTGAATGATACCACACTTTGAGTAAGTTTATAAATAAGCTGTCTTGACATCACGAACGCCTCCAGGAATCGCATGTGTGAGTAAATTTGCTAATGTAGCGTTCCAATTTGTGAGTGGCATTATGAGTCACTTGTAACCAATCCTTTGTATTATAGGGGTGGTTTACACCTCGAAGGAGCACTGCACAAAAGCGGGTTGGTGATTTGTTGACAAAAAATTAAACCATCAGAATCAAAGAATTGTGGTTGTCCGTAGTGGCAGGTTTCACTAGCAAATGCTCTGTGTGGATGAACCAAAATTGAATTCATGCTTTTGAAACGTCCCTGATGTGGTCTGCTGCAACCGGTATCACCTATTCAACGTTGACACGTACCGGGGTTTAAAGTCGTTCACGCAAGTCCTGCGCATAGAGTAATTCGAGGCAGTATGCTGTTGCTTGATTTTATTCTAATTGATCCGCACATCGTTTTGCGTTCCTAGCTTTCGCAACTACTCACTGATGGAAAGGATCGAGCGGAGAAACTCCACCGTAACATTTCTGACTACACAAAACAACTCGCCGCAGGGGATAAGAGCAATCGCGATCTCGAGAGTGACTTAATCAAATTGAAAGAGCATGTTAACCTGTTGCGGACGGCGGTGCAGGAGTGGTTTGAGCAGGCCGAGACTGTGATCACTGAAGACTTAAACGGAAAAAAATCAAATCTAGACAGATTACGCCAACAAATAACAGAAATTGAAACAATGATTGCAGATCGTGCACAGGACGATTGTGTTAACGAGCTGAGCCACTTGGATAAACTAACTTTCGACAAGGGGAAAACCTCAACAAACTTAATCCGAGGTCTTCAGCGGAAACGTACTGAAAGGACAGATCTGAAGATAACACTCAAGAGAACAGAGGTAACTAACGACACGACTTCCCTTATGCGTCCTTTCGAAATCAGCAGCAAGAGGCTGCTTGGTTGATGCTCAAATTGGCTTGATTCCAACGTCTTTTGGATGCGTCTGAAACCGTTAAGTCGCTTCCGTCTGTTTAAAGTATCCATATTTTGAACTCCATGCGTCGATTTATTCGGTTAGCTTTGCTAGGTAGAGCAGGTTCTTTTTTGTAATTTGAAACCTAGCATAGATTTAAGCTAACTACACATGCTTTTGCACTCGTTTATCTCTGATTGTGCTAGTGAGTGTTCTGCCTTTTTATCGCTATTTTTCACCCTCTATTAATTTTTTAGCTAGTAAAGAAATTCGCCGAGTTGGAAACCTTCACCATCCTAAATGATTTCCTGTAATTTGTGCGTGTTAAACACAGTTTCTGTAGATTCATCCTCTGTTTTGTGAGCACATAGAGTGGAACTACAGGGATGTGCAACTCCTGTAAACGTGCTTTTATGTTGAGAAGCTGGATTCGACTCACCAGAACATTCCTGCACTGATCCAGTCGCCTCTATCAGCATGGACCGAAACCCGAGTTTTGCCGAAGCTGTTTACTAAAGTTGTTACGTTTGTCTGTAACCAAGAAAAAACCCATTCAGATCCCCTGTCTGACGCTAGTACCGAACTTCCCACGCTACTGCAAGAACAAGACCAGGGGTCGTGCAGAGAGCTTTTATCGTCCCAGTCAAAGGCCGAGTGATCTACTAGAATGCCAATACCTATGCGAATCGAGGGTAACCCTGACCTGATGGATGAAAGCAGATTAGCACAGATGACGTTGTCAATAGGGAACCAAGGTGATTCACCCGCTGACGTGGCGTGGTTGCGGAATTAGTGTGGACAATGACGATGAGCCGCCTCGTGGGATCCTGCATCCCCAACAAAGGTGCACGGCAGCACTTTCCGGATGGACAATTTCGACGCAATAGGCACTAAACTCGCAAATGGGGTCACCTAGAGGTGGGGTTGCATACCCAAATAGCCACTTATAAATTAACGTCATTTTCCACAGCAAGATGTAAAGTTCGACCCACACTGTAACGCGACCAAACTTAGTCTAAGCATCCTTAGCACATTGGGCGCGCTAGTGAATACCACTACTACTAATTTATTTAGAAGGACCCCAGTGCCACCTACGTAGTAGCGAGGCACAGAGTTCTGGGTGACTAAGGAGTGGTGGTAGACTTCTCTACCGAAGAAAAACTCCGTAGAATAAAGTTGATTTTAATCAAACAAAGCATAAAAACGCTACTGAGACAACTGGGGATATCTTTTGCAAGTCTGGACGAGTTGCTTATGACTGCTTACACTCAACCTCCCGTGAGTCCGATGACGAGACTAGCTGAGCGCATTTATTTACATTAAGTGCTGATTCATCTAGGGGTAGATTCTCCTTGTCTTCAAGCCTGGGCGTGGATATCTTTGGACTGTCAGCAACATAACCTGTTTGTAAAATATTAAAAAAAAACAGTTTCATAAAGGTGCAGATTCAACAAATTGACCAACACATAAAAGGGGCGCAAGAGGAACGCAAATAGTCACTAGATTGGGCGATGGGATGTCTTTTTTCCGCTGTGGTTTCTCCGAATTCATAAGTTCTTCGTAGCCGACAGTAGACAAATGAGCATGAAAAGCGGCTGAGCAGACTAACATACCCGGCGTAAAAGAAGTGCTCGGGAGTTCAAAGTTCGCCTCAACAATTTTGTATGCGGCTTTTCAACGCAGTGGAAGCATTCAAAGCAACCTCGACAAAAGGGGCAAAGCCCTCGAAAATCTTTGATTACGTTCATCTAGTTAATGTCATCAGAAAGGACCTTATTGGGCTGGACTTTACAAAAAAAAGTGCACGGGCTCGAACAATGTCAGCGCGTAAAATGGTGACAACAGATTGTACTAAGGCCTATCCTATGTTAGGGGATGAGTGAACGCAGAGCACAGGAGTCTACGAATTCAATTACACTTATCCGCAGCCTCCAATTCCTCCGACAAGCGTTGAGTCACAGCGCGCTGCCGAGCAAGTTCCTGACTTAGTTTATGTCTGCTAAGGGTCTCTTTCAGAAACCGTTCTCGCAGAGTGGCCAATTCCTGCTTTGTTTTCTCCGCCTTGCATTTATAATCTAGAAGTCTTTCCCTGTAAAGAAAGGTAGATACTCAGGTTAGAGCTTCTGATAAGAATTAGCAAGTGCATTTAAGTAATAGGTCATGAAGTAGCAACCCTCTCGCTCGTGCGGTATTCCGTAAATTTAATATCTGGTAAATGCAAACAATGCCTACTTGCGAATATCACATTCTCAATTAGGTAAAAACAAGAGCTACCAATGCTTAACGACCAGGCTATCAGTACTAACGTCAACCTCCAGACCATAGGTCACACACTAAAATCGGCAGGTCGACCTAGCAAAATATTCGACCGACCCACGAAATACTACCATTTCGTCAAACAATTTCCTCTACTTTGACTCAACATCTATAGTTTGTGTTTCAGAACGTTCTTTAATTGTCACAACACTCCTTGAGTAGAATCTTATTCATATGATGATCCATTCCGAGATCCCAGTATACTTTTATTTCACACACAGCGTTCGGCAACAATATTCCCAGAAAGTTGTCATGATGCACATTATGGGAACTGGGTAACCGTTTTTTACCACAGGGAGTCTTACGTTGCGGTTAAAAAAACTTTGCATTCAGATAATTCAACAAACTATTTACAGTAACCGGCGAGTTATTGGCTCACGAGCGACACCTCGTACACTTGTCAACAAGATACCCTCACAATTATAAATTAGAGCAAGGCAATATCATTCGTACTCCAGTGCTTTAACGAGGTTGCGTTGACTGCTATGATCCGGTCGAAATGCGGTTGACATCTGATCAGCCTGTCGAAGATCTGAAAGCTAAAACAAAAACAACAGTGAGAATCTAGTCATAAGCATTCTACCCCGAATGACGTTCGACTAAGCCCTTAGCAAATCCGACCAAGTTAAGATATTTAAAGACTCTCAGGGTCAATCAATACTTCAAGAACTTCTTCATCTACCTAACTGCACTGCACATTCGAGCACCTTTAGGAATAAAATATACGAAGCTGGGATACACCGAAGAATCAAATTTCTCAGAGTTTGCATTTTGGTGGCGGCTTGTGTGTTTGCATAGAAGCAAAAGGCATTGATGGGTATGGCGAAAATGCACATTCGACCCAAAGAGCACTACAAACCCCAGCTATGTTTATTTTTAAAAAGCATAATAGGTGCAGACGTCGAATACACCGCACACAAGCACACCCACTGCGGCTTCTGAGGCGCTATCGCTAGCTAATTCATCATGAAAAGAAAGGAGAAGAGTGAGACAGACGGGTGACTGGTCAGTGCTCTCAGATAAATCAATCATGAGAGGTAGTAAAACACGAAAGGACCAAATCCTCAAAATATGCTCTCGTATATTTACCAAAATGGACGAGAAACCTTCATGACCGGAAGGACGGACGATGCTAAGAGGACTATCACTTAATTTAATAAGTTACAGCCAATTTATTACCTTTTGATCTCGACTTGTCTTCTGAACTGAGTCAAGCCGCGACACCTCCTTAGTGAGGCGATCAATCTCACCACACAACTGAGTGATAAGTTGAGTGTCTACTTTTACTATGCTTGATTCCATCTCCTGCTGAAGGTGGAGCTGCGTAAAACAGAATTGAAATAAATACATATTAAAAGAATTTAAAAAAAGTAGACAAATTAATGTGCGGTGCCACTAGGTGGATTCAAGCGAGAGATTGCTTTCATTTACTAGGAAGCAAGGGTAATTTCGAATGCAACTGTCCGGCGTGAAAATACAGTGGGACCTAAGAAAGAAGCAACGACATCCTTAGCGACGTTAAATGACTAACGTACAGCAAGTCAAGTACAGGAAAAGGACATTGAACTACGGAAGCAGATAAATTGTGTGGTGGTGCTACTGTTGAGGGCCCCGGCATGGTTCAAGACAACATGCCGGGGCCAATGCGATTATCTAGACCGAATACGTTACCCTGCGTTCCCGCGAAAATATAGAAGACCGGGGTGGGGAAGACAACCGTTTACTAGACCGCTCAACCAAA